ATTTGAAATGTGAATATTCTATATTAATTTGTTAATTATCATTATTTTATCATTATTTCTTTGAATGTTTATTTTATCTTTTATTTTCTTATTTTATTAAAAACATTAACCATTTTAAAACATTTATTTTATTTCTTTTCAATTATCCCTTATTTTCTCTCTTTTATTCTTTTTGACTAACTAACACTTTGGGATAAATGTTCTATTTGAACTTATCATTTCTCCATTTCTCATCATCTTCTTCTTAATAACTTCAGACAATTTTGTTGAATTTAATTTGGAAATAAATCTACATTGGTTCTTGTCTATCGTTGATACCCAAATTACAATATGTCTAGGTTTAGGCCACTCCTAACATAGTATAACGTGGAAACCAACTGAATAGCTGACCTTTATAAAAGTACAACCAAATATAATATTCTAATAATCATCAAATGCCTTTAAGAAGATATGTATTTTCTATTCACCATCTTCTAGACACTCTTATGTGCTTCTGGAGGGATTTCATTAAACAAATTACTCTTTGTTGTGACTCACACAATGAAATCACTTTAAAAATCAAAGTAAACGACTTAAATATGAAATGAGAAAGTAAAATGAGAAAGTAAAGAATATTCAATAATGACTTTTGACGTGTTTCATATTTATTCAATAATTAAAGTCATAATCAAATAGTAATAAATATAGTAATAATATAATATAGAAATAATAAAATAAAACAAAAAGAGAAAAATCATAAAATGATAAGAAGAATCAAAACAAACATAAAGAATTAATGAAAAAGAATAATACAAATGAAACTCTTTTCTAATTGAAAATAAACATTTTAATGTGAATATTAACATGTTTCACTCATTTTGTGATGATTTATATCTATTTTATTAAATTGTATTTAATTTATGTGAATTTATCTTTTGAATAATTATGAAATGAATAACATGATATTCATTGTATTAATGATTGATAATATCAACAAATTATGAATGAAAAATGAAATGTTATTTTAAATCAATATTCAATTAATCATATTTAATAATAACAAATAATATAATGAGTTACACAATAAATAATAAATAATTAAATGATAAAAGAAAATATAATAAAATGAATGATGAGAATGAATAAAATAAACAAATGATAAAGGAACAACAAATAATAAGAATTAAAATGAAATAATGAAATAAAACATAAAATAAAAATAATAACTTCAATGAATAAACAATATAAATGATATAAAATAAATGAATTAAATAAAATAAACAACAATAGATAATAAAACAAAGAAATAGATAAGTTAATCAAATGTAATAAAAATAATTAAGTAAATAAGAAATAAACATTAATATAATTGAATTAATCATTTCTTCATTCTATTATTATTCTTTTATTTTTGTTATTCATATCTTATTTTTATTTCTTTTATATTATTCATTAATTATTCAATAATTTACTCTTCATTTTATTTATTCTTTTATATTTTTATTAATTTCATCATTTAATATAATTTTATTGTATATTATTTATGAAATTATTTTATTGTTATTTAATATTTTGTTTTTATGTTGAATAAAATATGATAAATAAATATAAATCATTACCATATCAAATTGATACAATTATATATTGTAAATAAATGAAAATAATAAGAAATGAAATAAATAATGAAATAACATATATTTAATTGAATAATAAAATAAATGAAAATATAATATTATTATTCTTTTTATTTTATCAATTTATCATTGTTTTATTTCATATTTATTGTTACCATTATTATTTGATTAATATTGTTATTTATTATTAAAATAAAATAAAGAATATAATTAAATTTATATTGATTCTTCATTATGATTCATCATTTCTATTTCATTATTCTTATGATTTATTTTATATTTGAATTAAATACCAAATATTTATATGAATTAAATACAATAATAAAAATAATAAAAATAAAGAAGAGAGAAAATAAAAATGTGAAATGACATGAAATGATATTTAAAATAAATCAGAAAGAGGAAGAAATAAAAAACAGAAGAATAAAAATAAAGAATAAAATTGTTACAAAACAAATATAAAGAATGAAATATCATTTAATGAGAGATGAAATATCAATTCAATACATTGAAACAAATAAATAATATGAAATAAATTAAAAATGAATAAACATAACATATTAATAATTAAATAAATGATGATTGATTTTATCCAATTTCATTCATTTGATATTTCATTCTTTATTTTATTATCAATTAATTTGTTTATGATGTATTTCTTATCATTTAAATTATAAAATAAACATTCTTTTTATTCTTTAATAATTCAATTATCTTCTTTCTTTATTTCTTCTTTATTATATATAAAAGCAATTTTCTGGTATTGTTTTATTCTTCTTTAATTCTTCTTCACATCCACAATGATAAAAACATCCAACTCCAAATGATGTAATTGATGATGGTATATTAATTGTTTTTAATGATGAACATTCACAAAAACATCCATTTTCTATTTTACTTACACTTGTTGGTATTTCACTTTCTTGAATATCATTACATTCATAAAAACAATTAATTCCAAGTGAATTAACTTCTTTTTGTATTGTATTTCCAAATATATTTCTATATTTTCGTGTATATTCAATATTTTTATATTCATTCATTTCTTCTTTCTCTTTTAAATATCTTGAATAACTCACTTTATACCATATTACATATTTAAATATTCTTCCATCTTCAAATATTTTATCTTCTTTATTATAAATATGAAATGTTTCAATATTAGGAAATAATTTTCTTGAATATTGATTCAATGGAATTGGATTAAAATGAAATTATTCCATATTTCCTTGAAATCTTTTAATTCCAATTTCTAAATTAATAAAATCATTAATATCTTCAAAATACTTTGAGACAATCATTATTTCATTATATCCTATTTTCATTCTTTCTTTATTATTTTCTTGTTTATTAGTTCTTCTTTTATTTTTAGTGTGAACTTCTTTTATTTTTAAGATAATCGTCATTCATTTTTTCTTCTTTTTATTTTTTTAATATAAATTATTAATAACAAATAATTTATATTTCAATAAATTATTATTTATTATTTATTTGATGAATATGAAAATGAAAAAATGCCATTACAGGAGACACCACAAAAAATATAAAACAAATAACCAAAAAAGAAGAATTTCACATCAACAAAGAAATATAAATGATAGAAGAATGAGTGAAAATAGGTATTATCTGTATTGACAGAGATACATGAATAATCACACTAATCATTACAATAATAATTATCACCATAAATATCACAATATTGATGATACAAATTGTTTCACTCATCACTTCATTCATAATCATCGTCATAAACACTTTAATAATAACTTCAATAGAAATAAACAATATCAATATAAGAAAAACAAGTACCACAATAACACTCAAAGAAGGTATAAACAATATCAAAATAAGAAACAAAACAGAAACCAAAGAAAAGAAATGATTGAAATACAAAACCAAGAATATTGGAAAAAACTCTCTGAAGAAGAAATTAAAATACTTACACCACAAGAAGTAGAAGAAATTAAAAATACCAAGATTAAAGAATATACATCATCAACAATATGGAGAGATTGTATTTTCTTGCACGAGAAAAAAACAAAAACAATCAGAAAAGAAGAAACTATTAGTATGACAATGGAAGAAGACAATAATCAATACAACCCAAATGAGATTAAAGACAATAAAACATAAAATAACTATGTAATGAGTGTTGAAAATAAAAATAAAGAAGAATATTGAAGAAGAGGAAGAAGAAAACAGTAAAAAGAAGAAATGAGTAGAAGAAATAGAAAAGAAAGTGGAGGAGGATATGAAAGAGAAAGAAGAAATGAAAAAGGAATTACAAATAAAAGAATAAACTATTAAGAAACTAACAAAAGATATTATGACATTAAAGAAGAAGCATGAGAATGAGATAAGCACAAAAAACAACGAGTGCGATAAAAAATATTCAAATTCCATGCTGAATCTGAGAGGAAAATATTTGAAGTAAATAATTTAACACAACAATTACTCTTCCTGAAAGATAAATTATCTAAATTAGAAAATAAAAATACACAGGAAGAAAAGAAGAAAGATGAGGTAACTTACAATATAACAGACTCATCTGAAACACAAATTGTGAATGACCTCTCCCCCAATGTGGTAGTAGCTGATGAAATATCATCAAGTGAAGATGATCTTCCAAAAAAAGAAAGTTAACGCAGAAATCCATTGAAGAAATGGATATTCAGCATAAGAAGATCACCACATTAGAATTAGATAATCAAAAAAAAAAAAAAAACGGGGGAAGCAAACAGATAGAAAAGAAGAAATTTTAACACTTTATAAATGTTTTGCTTTGAAATTATTTGAAAGAAATTAAGATGTCAACTAAAAGAAGAAATAATAGAAAGATTAATACAAGAATTTGGAATTAAAGTAAATGATATTAATGAATATAAAGAAGTATTAAAGAAGACATTTAAAATAAAGAATGAAAATAAAAGAGAAATTAACAGAATAATGGAGGAAGAAATAATAACACATCAATGGAAAGATAAAGAATTAAAAGAAATAATAACTAAAATGAACAAGAAAGAAGAAATAGAAGAAGAGGAGGTAATGAAAATAATTAAAGAAGAAGAAATGAAAGAACAAGAAGATGTACAATTCATTAACTATTATTATAATAAGAAGAAAATACATCAAATAATTAATATTATTAATAAAAATGAAATATTAATCAATACATTAGATGAGTATTATCATTATATTAAATCAGTAGCTTCCACTATTAACATAATTAATAAAAATAAACAAGAAAGAAGTGGAAAGAAAAGTATAGAAAGAATATTACAGTCAAAAATATGTAGATTGAGAGATTTGTTCAATAATAAACAATATATGAAATTGAAAAGAATATTACATATTAAGAAAAATGATATATACCATATTAAAATAAAAACAAATGAACAAATAAACTATTATAAATACCTCCGAAAGATGAAAATAATAGAAATAAAAACAAGAAAGAACAAATTGAAAAGAATAAGATGGAAATATAAAATGATGAAATATGGAAAAAGGCAACATCTAAATAAGCCTAAATAAGATGAATATCCAGATAATATCTCCACTATTAATTTCTGGAAAGGAATCTATGAAACTAATACCAATATAGATTTCCTGAATATTAATTTATATGAAATATTAAATGAAAATAGAATTAATGATAGAATGTCTATAATCACTCCAAATGAACTAGATTGTGATATTAAATTTATTGCTAACTGGAAGGCACCGGGAGTTGATAAAATACAATGATTTTTGATTAAATAATTAGAACAACCAAAGAAATATTTATTAAAATTATCTAATGAATGGTTAAACAATCCTAATGAAATACCTCTTCATTTTATTCAAGGAAGAACAATATTAATATATAAAAAAGGAGATAAATTAGATACACAGAATTACAGACCAATAACGTGCTTAACTTGTCTGTTAAAAATATATACATCAATATTAAAAATGAAAATAGAAAATCAATTGATGTTAAATCAAATTGAAAAACAACTTTCATTAAATCAAATTTGATGTAAAAAATATACATATCATCAAAAGAAGGATTATTATACAATACTATAATCCAACAATTATTATTAAAGAATAAATTGAAGTGGGTAGAAACATATTATGACGTCTCCAAAGCATATGATAGTATTAACCACCAATGGATTAAACAATGTTTAATTTATTTCAATATCCCACTAGCAGTAATTAATAGTATATTATATATATTAAATAATACACAACTTAATTTATATTATAATCAAGAAAGTGTGGGTATGAATAATGTAGAAAAAGGAATAATACAAGGTGATAGTTTATCTCCACTCTTATTTGTATTATCTATTGATGTATTATCTAAACAATTAGATAAACAAATAAGCAAATTAAATATTAAAATGAATGGAGAAGAAAAACAAATCCAGTTAAACCACATATTATATATGGATGATTTAAAGATAATGAATAATAGCCTCGATGAAATGGAAAAAGCCCACAAATTAACTAAAGAAATATTTAATTGAATAGGATTAAAAATTAAAGTAGAAAAGAGTGGGATAATGACTAATATTAATAGTCAAATAAATGGTGAATTAGCTGAACTACCAAGAGTAACTAATGATAATCATTATAAATATCTTGGTATTGAAATATGAGATAAAATAAATATTAATAAATATTGTACAAGAATATTAAATGATATATCTTCTATTTTATCATCATTAAATACTATGAAATATAGCAACCTCAATACAATAAGAAAGATTAATAGTGATATAATCTCTAAATTAAGATATGGATTTTGTATTGTCAAATATAAAGTAGGAGAATTGGAGAAGATAGATAAACAAATAAGAAAATCATTAATACAACTCCAATTATATAGCAGAAATATACCCAAAAAGTAGGTTATATGTTAAAATAAATGAATTGGGATTAGGAATAATGTCATCAAGAGATTAATGTGGTAAAGAATTAATAAGAATATATTTAAAATATAAGTGGAGATCACAGGAATATGAGAAATGATAGAAGCAATAAAAGAAAATCCAAATGGAATAATTAAAAGAATGAAGACAGCATTTGGTAAGAAGATTAATTTTAATGAATTAATGAATGTAATAGAATTAAATGAAAGAAAGCACAATGTAAAGGAAATATTTGAATGGGTAAATAATGAATTAAATGAAAGAGATTTAAGTGAATTGAAAGAAAAGAAATGTTGTGAATATATAAGAAATGCAAATGGCACTTTCAATAATAAGAAATTAACAGTAGCAACATGGAGGTCATTAAATATAAAAAGAAATGCATTCATCCAAATAGTAAAGATGCAAGAAGGAGTAACTATGACAGGAAGTATTAAATCTAAAATACTCCAAAATGATGCTTTAAAATATTGTAAACATTGCCCTAACACTATTGCATCTATTAGTCATATACTGTTAGGATGTAATGAAAAAGAATCAAATATCAAAACATGATTATGTTTGTAAACAAATATTTAAACACTTATTAATTACACAATTTACTGAATTTGATGCAATTGACTTTAATAATCCTCCAAAATGTATTAATAATGATAAAATGGTTATAACTTACAATAAAGATTTATTTGTTAGTGACAATTCATTCCATGCTAGAAGATAAGCTATATAATATCAAAATATGAAAGAAAAGAAATGATATATTATAGATGTTGTTATATGTCAAGATAATAATTTAGAATTAAATTATATTCATAAAATAAATAAATACAAAGAATTACAAGAGAAAATAAGAAATAATAGAGAAATAATATATGTTGAAATAATACCTGTTATATTATCAATAAATTGATTAATTCACAAAGAGTCAGTAAGAAGAATAAAAGCACTGAAATTACAATTAAACTTTTCCAAAATCATATAAACAATAATTATAAAAAATATGAAAGA